TGTGGCAAATTGGCGCCCCCTACAGCTGCAAGCGCCCCTGCTTGCTGAGAAGGTGCCATGCACAGAAGCTGTGTGAGAAGGGGAAGGGGGTGAAGGGAAGTGGGAGGTGAAGGGGAGGGGAAGGGGAAGGGGAAGGGGAGGGTGGACAGTTCACCTCTGGGTCTCCCTAATGGAACGGACAAGGGGGGGAACGGGAATCGACTCCAATTCCCCACACAGTGATATGACCGAACAGACACATAGAAAACCGCTTTGAACTGGATTATTTTTTTTAAATGCTCGTGCTGCCCCCCATGTGTCATGAAAAAATGTCGCCCTGGGCGTCTGCCCGCTTCGCCCATGCCCAAAACCGCTACTGCTCATGACTAAAAGCCCTATTGTGGTTGGTAAGAGTGCTATGGAGTGGTTGGGATATGCTGTGCTGTTCATGATTGCTAAAAGCCTGTTGCATGACCTTCAAATAACCGCTTACAGACAGTGCAGGCAAACACAGACAGGTATTGTGAGCCTTTATGCACTAAACTGTACACTCCACATCCATGGGTTTGTCCTCTAAGCTCAGCCAGGGTGCTGGCTACAACATTCTGGTGATAAAAAATGAATGAAATTATGAATGAAAATGGGGAAAATATTTTAGCAGGTCAGCTTTAACATTGACCAAGAAGAGTGGGGACTATTTCTATACTCAGAGTTTGAGTCTCCAGGCTTGTTTGACCAATACGCAAACTACAACCCTAGAACCACATCACAAGTGCCTTGTAGGGGACAGTAACTACAGCCCAGGGTCTGACACTGGGCATGGTTTCCTGTGATTGAAATTCAGACCTGCTGGCTTTAGGTTGGTGTATTCATTTCTAAGAAACTATTTCAAAACCTCCCCTGGCACAAATACGCTGCTTGGCCCGAAAGCACTTGACTATAATACAAATAAGTGCAAATCTACTCTACAGAGTGGTCAGCGGTTTCACTACTTTACATTGCCTCACTGCCTTCCTCAGCCCCTGGAATAAAGCAAGTGCTACTAGGGTCAAATTTGTGTATCTACATTTGTATCTACATTTTCAGGATATGAAGATGATACTCATCTGGCAGGTATTAAAAGGTTTTCACTTAAGGACCATATTGCTGTCACATCTTTTCAGAATTAGGCACTTGCACAATCCTGATGCTGTGAGCTGTTCATGGAGGTAGAACCTTGGTCTTTAGGTACTGCCCTAATAATCTGCAGCTAAGAGAAACTACGATGGCTGCGAAAGTTGCAAACAACGGATACAACCCAATGTAGAACCGCTGTTTAGTCTGTAATGAGCTACTGTAGAAACATGACGGTTCAGGCAAAGAAGAGGACTCATTCCCTGAAAATAAGAATTGTGTTTTTGTTAACTTAGAATAAGCCATTTTATCTATTGAGGGAGTTGGTCCTCTTCCATTGCGTCTGTCCTGTTAGGCCATTTTTCTACAGTAACCCAGAATGGACAAACCAAACACTAGCTTTAGATATGGCCTTTCGTCTTTTTCGCAAGCTTTGCCTTAGCCTACAAGTAAAATACATAACATAGTGACCAAAGCAAACTATTTCATATTATTATGGTTATGCAGTACCCATGAAACTGCACACCTGCTGAGGTGTAAATAAACCTCTGCCAATTAACTGGACCATTGAAATATAAGGTATTTTACATTTTATTGTCTGAGAACAGGGCTCATTAAAAACACCCCTTTCCCCAAAAACCCAAGATTACTGTATCTGTTACTATGATAACTAATTAACACTAACCTGCTATGTTACACACAATTCCTTCATGTCCTACTATATCCATAAGTCAGAGTATATGAATATTATTTTTATTGTATCATCACTTTGATTTGGTTAGGATTACCTACTTAAGAGGTCATGAATTTTTATCAGTGTTAATTTTTTACAAAACACACTTGAAATATATATATTTTGACATAATTCTGTTTTAAATTAAACCCACAAATAAAGATTGACTGTAGCCATTTTTACCATTAAATCTATTTCCAAATAGCATTCAGTTAAATAAGCTACAAGAAACAAAAATGTTCTCTATATTTAATTCAGTATTTTAGCTGGAAGTTCACTTAACCTACATTTTGACTTTAGTCTGTGTTGAAAGCTCTTACTTGTTTACAGTTATGCCTGTAAATTGGACCAAATGGCCTTAAATTCAAGATAGTGTTGAGATTTTTTGCTCCAGTAAATCACACTGCTGTATAATGTATAACACTACACAAATAATTTACTGTGGCAGTAGTAGTAAAACTTAAAAGGAATATTCATTCATCATACTAAGTAGCGGTTTCTCTTACTTAAATATGTAACATTTCGGAGGCAGTATGGAAGGTGACCCATGGCAACTGCAAAAACAGCTCATTCTAAAGTATCAAAAACACAATTCCTATATTAAAGTGATTACACACGAATGAAAACATACATATGAATAT